AGGTCTTACAATCTTTGCATTTCTTTAATCCTTGGGACAGGATATTTTGCTCTCGTGTGAATTGCATTCTTTTTAGGGACTGTGATCTAGATGGGAATTTTTTCACACCTGGCAAGCTCCAGGACTGTAAGCAACCATTTCCACCTAGAAGTACCCTCATGGGTTACATGGCCAGAGCCCAGCTGCAGTTCCTAATAGTGTTTAAGATGTGCCTCATAAAAAGGCAGGCACCAGCTTCCAATTGTGAAGACTTGTGCCCCTGCTGTTCCCACTAGAATGCTATTCAGAACTCCACAGTCTCTGCTGGCTGGAAACATTCTAATTTCTAGCCTACGCATATTCATGGCTGATCTGCACATACTTACTTTCAACATCATGTTTTAGCATAAATAGATTTTCTCTTTTGTTGGTGTTTTCCCTGTAGTGTTTATGTGCAATAATCAAATTCTGCTTTTAGATTTCTTTTGGATTTTCTTTTTACCAGGCTAAACAAGCTGAGATGATTTAGTTTTCTTCTTATAAAGCAGTTTCTCCTGCCCTAATCTACCCTTCAGTATATCCTGCTTAAACATAAATTACCCAAAATTTACAAGTAGTTCAGATGAGATCTTGCTGAGCCCTATGTAATAACAAAAACTCATCCTTCTCAAATTACCAGATATTTTCTAGAGATGCATTTTGCTTTTTCATGACTGTGTCACCTTTGCGACTTTGTTCTCCTGGGATGGACTGAAAAACGTGGACCCTTCACCTCTGGCTTTTCCAGCAGCTGACTGCTCACAACCAAAGTTCTGTATGAGCCCTGTCCATGGCCTTGCATTTCATGCTACTGAGTTTCGTCTTGGTTTTCCAACTCAAATTCTTGAGGTCATCTAACTCTTCCTCTATGATGGCCTGATCTTTCTTTCCAGTTAAGGGTGCCTCTGCAAAGTACTGAACACTCTCTTGTTCTGTACTGAGGTCATAAGTAAAAACTGGATGCTGGTAGGCTCCAGGCTGAGCCTTGTGCAGTTGCAGCAGCAGCCCAGTAGTTGATACCTTTCCTTTCACTTTCCCCATCTTAGGGCTGCTGAAGAAATCCCCAGTTCCCGTGTAGTGCCATGCCCAGTGCATTGTGAGGTGCAAACTAGGGCCAAGGAACGTATGACAACTTTATTCTTTTATAAGAATAATGTCTAAGGATTTGCAAGGTGTTGAGTTTATAATGCATCTGTCCTTCCCAGTCGGATCACAGCTCTATTTCATGCCTTTAATTTCTCTGTTTTGATCCAGAGTTGCAACTCTTGGTGCTGATTCTAATGCAGAGATGATATACATTTATGTACAGTTTGCAGAACTGGTAAATAGCACGTTTAATGCTGGTGTAAAAAAAATCAGCTGTGCTCCTTTCTAAATGTTTGTGCTATCATCTGTTGTACACATCAGAGCATTTCAAGTCTTAAAACTTCCAGGGATTCTAATTACTGGTAACGGTGTTCCTGCTGATTTCCCTTCACTGTAGGCCTGGAGGGTGAAGATCCAGCTCATCTCTCAGCTATTCAGCCTCAATTTGTTTTTAACAGTAGGAGTTTCAGATCCTATCATTAGTCATTGTTAGCTCTTCATTGCCATTGGGAGACTTTTTTGCTGGTGACCGAAGACAGTGCCTGAACAGCAGTCCAGGGGGAGTTGTCCTTGAGGAAGGCTTTAGCAGAGGCTTCAGAGTGTGACCTGGTCTGCGTGTGTTGTCCTTCTGTATAAACAACCATACTTTGGCCAGCTGCAGTCTTCAGGCTCGTGTGATACGCATCAAATCTCGTTTCCCTGTGGGAAATGTAATCCTACAGGAATGTTTCAGATGCAGTTTATGGTAAAAATGTTTTTTTCCTATTAGGATGTAGGTGAGGAGCTCTGGTCATAGAGAACTTAATGTGGCTGTCCAAGGCTCACGTGGCTGCACTCGTAACCAACACTTGTGGTTTCTTACAAGTGAGAGTTAATGACTTGTGCTTTTTGGTTAGTCACTATTTTAATCTTTGCTTAACAGGAGGTAATTTAAAAATTGAAATACGCAGTACACATCACACACAAGTTTGTCTGAAGGCAGTCCAAGTGCTCATCCATATGCATGGACTGATTAATGTGCTGTTAGTGCTCGGTGCCGTGCGGCTCTGCCTTCGTGGCTTTCCCAGTGCCATTATGTGGCATCACACTAGTGATAATGGCTACAACGAAGAAGCACTTATTCTTGCATAGTGGGGGGCTTTTCAGTCTGAAAGACAAAGACATAACAAGATCCAGCTACTGAAAGTTGGACAAATTCAACCTTGAAATGAGACGTGGTTTCCTAGCTGCAAGGAAAAATAGTTTGGAACAGCTTGCAAGAGGAAATGGTGGAGTTGCCACTGCTTGGAATGAAGACAAAATTTGCTATCTCTCTGAAAAAGGTTTCTTTAATCCAGCATTTTGGAAGAGTTCTGTGACTTGAGATCAGTTGAAAGGAATACAGCAGCGCTGTCTGGTGTTAGTAGGTGAATGGCTAGGTGTGATTAAATGACCTTTTTGGTTTGGGTCAGTGGATTTCTATAACAAAGGGATTGGCAACAACATGGAGAGGGCTGTGAGATGAGGCAGTGGCTTAGAGGAGATAAAATTGGACATCTGTCTTACTGTCTTTTTGACTGTTAATAATTAAAGTGTTGCTGCTTACCAACTGTGTGGTTCAAATGTGCATAGATGTTAATACCGAAGTATTTCAGAGGCAAAAGGGGACTTTGATTCTGAGCACCTCTTTGTTTCTTAAGGGTCTTTGTCTTTGCAGTGTTTATCATTTTGCTGTATACTCTTCTTCATTAGAACCTATTTTCTATCAGTCCTCCTCTGGAATGTGGTGGGAGTGGAAAGTGCCTTTGACCATACTGAGTGCAGCATGTCATCTGCTGCAAGCTGTACTGGTTTTAGTTCCTAAGAGAAATCCAAAGCAATGATTATCATTGGTGTTTTTTTTTTTTTTTTTCATTCTCTCAACCTTCAATAACAGACTGTGAAGGCTATATTCAGATTTCCTGCTTTAAAGGTTTTAAACAGAATCCCAGAGAGAGAGCTGTGTGAGTTGCTCCATGAAACTTTGATTTCAAAGATTCACTAAGTCCAAATATGTGCAAAATTCAGGAGATCTGAATGCAGTCTTAAAATGTGTTTTTCCAACACAAACACCTATCCAGTTGTTTTATTTCAGGGAGGTGCTCTCAAAATGAAGGCTGCATCTTTAATAGTGATAGGTAAGATTTTCAGACATTGTTAGAAGTTGAACTGTGCTGCTGCTGAAGCTAACAGAAAAGCCTTCTCCATTTTTTGATGGCAAAGGATTAGGCCAGTAGGAGTGCTCTTGGACATGATGTTCACTTGTTTCCCTGTCCACTAGGATTAGTGCTTTGTAGTAATGCAGTAATTGCCTACATGATTGAAACTTCCATCAGGCACGAGTACTTGCAGTCAGGTACTGCTCCCTGAAGTTTCTTGGAAAGTGGAACGGTTCAGTTGTTCTGCTCTGTCACTTGCCTGTTTTGGATCCTGATGAAAATGTACTGCATGTCTTTTGGTAAAGAATTCAATCTTCCATTGCCTCAAGCACACTTTCTCTGAAATAGAATATACCATGCTTTTCTAAAACCCATTCAATTTCTATTCCTGCTTCATGCATCTGGCAATCTAAAGAGAGCTGGCGTAGCCTTGCTGCCAGGGCAGTGGTGATAGCTGGGACTCCAGAGCTCTGCACCATTGATGCGTGACAGTAAGTAGATGAAGTTTTCAGAGAGCTCCTTTACCAACTGGAGGTGCCATGTGCTTGAAGCTAAAGGGCAGTGGAGTTCAGATGAAGATCGTCTTGTAGGGGCACTTTCTACTTGAAATAGGGTGATGGACTGGGGGGTTTGGGAAGAATAGCCAACACTCTTTGCTTGTTAACTGTCTTCACAGCTGAAAAGTCTTTCCACCCAAGTGGTATGAAGTGTGAGCCAGCACTTCTGTTTTGTGAGGCACCTGCAGTGTTTCCTCACAGACATAGAGCACATTTCAATTGTCTTTGTCTTTAGGGCTGCAGATAATAGGAGCATGCTTTACTGGGAGTGATGATTGGAAACTGCTGGGGCTGCTGGCCCTACATGTTGATAACTATTTGTTTAGGACTAGATTCTGGCTGCAGTCATAGACAGCACTCCGGGCACCTGGTGTCCAGTGAGTTGTCAACTAGAATGCCTTCCAAGAAAAGAACATCACCTTCCATGTTCATGAACACCCTTTTCTGCAGAGTTTCTTCGGAAGAATGACTGGAAGAGATGCTTCCCAGCTGCCCAACTTCTGCAAGTCTCAGCAGGTGCTGTCCTGCCCACTCCACATGTACTGCCAACCCCTCAGTGCTGAGGATCTTGGAAGGTTGCCACTGAAATTTGAAATTGCAGCCAAGCCTAAATTTTATTTTTTTCAAATGAGAATTATATAGAAGGCAGTGGAAGAGTTCTTATGCAGTGTTGTAGGGAAAAATGTCAAACCAGTCAATAGAGCCAGTGTGTTTTTAGGACAAACTCTTCTTCGAACTGTTCTGCAGCCTGAATGCTGCAGCACTAAGGAGCTGAAAGGAAACCACTCTGATTAATGTTGTGTATCGAGGTAACAGAAATAACAAATGCTACTGAGTTAGATTGAGTTTTACTGATCAGAATTATTAATAAAGCAGTTGGTGTTCTTTTAAACGAGATTTCTCCCTAATTGCCTTGTTTTGGAAGACTTGCCCTAGTTGCTGTAAACCTTTCATTGCTCTGACAACATAACGTTCAGGAACTTAAGATCCAGAAGGAGGGATAACCAGGTAAGAGGAGCACTCTGTCATTGTACCAGTGGGTTTGTGTTTACAGTTCATTAGTCCACGTTTAAAAATATCCTTCTGCCAATTTAAATCACAGCTGGATTCATACGAGTTTTGAGATTATCACTTGCTGAATAAAATCCTTCTTTTGCTTTAGCTTGCAGATTCGCTTGTGCCCTTGGAGATTAAGCCTGGCATTTCCTTAGCAACAGTTTCTGCCATGTTGCATACTAAAGACAACAAGCATGTTCTGCAGGTACAGTATAATGGGAGAGGGAGAAAAATATCCTTGCACAGGGTTTCCTGCCATCTGGGACCCCAGCTGTACTCATGAGGCAACCCTTCTAACAACTCTTTCCCCACCAGAGCAGCATTCCTGTCAGATGCTTTGTCCTGGCATGTGCAAGTGAGGAATTACACTTGGAGGAGAGAGTGTGGTGCATATAAATCTCTCTACCCTATTTTCATTGGCCGTGTTCCCAGCTAAGATAAAAGGGAAAGCGAGATTATTCATGAAGAGAGGCTACACATCATGGCTGCTGTCTTCCATAACCTGTACACCAGGATCAGCATCACCCGGCTTCTCACAGACTTAAAGTTGAGGGTCAGATGGGAAGGATGATCTAAAAGATGAGACACTTGAAGGGTCTGTGTTCTTTAAGTTGCTCTGTTCCCCAGGAATCAGATAGCACGTCCTTTGGAGTGAACTCCAAAGATTAAGTGAGGAGAAAATCCCTCTTTTTCTGCTATCTTCTTTACATTGCCATTGCAGTTCCTGGCATTAGTGCTGTACATGGAGATGATGCCTGGTGGAGCTGTTGAGCAGGAGATGCCTGGTCACCTTTCTCTGTTGATGCATGAAAGTGCAGGGAACTCAGTGAAGCCACATGTTTCATGATGCTGCCTGTCCCACTGGGCAGCAGAGCTTGGCTGAGCCCACAGCACTTGAGAAGAGGACCTGATATGGTCTTGTTGTTAGTGCAGGGACATGTTAGTGCAGGGTTAAAGATTGACATCAGTGCACAGCAAACAAGATACCTAATTTTTTCAGGTCAGTTCCCTAGATAACACTAGGCAGCTAGAAAAATTAAAGTATTAAAATGTGACTGGTTGGAGTCTGCTTCCTCCTTTATGTTTTGTTCATTTGCCCAGGGAGGTTGTTGAGTCACCATCCCTGAATGTGTTCAAAAACAGTTTGGATGTGGTGCTCAGGGACATGATTTAGCAGAGGGTTGTTAGAGTTAGGGTAGTATGGTTAGGTTGTGGTTGGACTTGATGATTTTTAATGTCTTTTCCAACCTGAGCAATTCTGTGATTCTCTACTCTGATTCCTGATGCCAAATTAACTTGGAGGTAGGCATAAACTTCAGGTAAGCAGCATCTTTGCCTGAGAGCTCTAGAAACCACAGAACCTGTGCGGACAAGCTCCAAAAACCTCATCCAGTCAGCACAGAGCCATGCAGAGATTCATGCATAAATAGCATCCTGCACGCACCTTGGTTCATCAGACTTCAGGATGAGTGGTTGTCTATGTGAAGTGACACCCTGTCTGTGGAACCAGAGCCTGAGCAGGCGGTGTTTCTTTCCCAGGGATGAAAAACACCCTTCCTTTTCTGTGGAAAGAAACAGATGGATATTGCAACAGCAGGTTCAGATATAGTGCTGCACACTGGGAGAGATGTGGAGTTGAGAGGAGCCCAGTCTGTCACCTGAAGTGTACAGAGCACAGCACAAGGCATCAGGACTGCCTCAGGCAGATTCACTGTGGTATACAGATGCATCTTTGGCAAATGGTCTTGCCAGCATTATGGAGACATTTTTTCCATCACCTTTTTCCCAAGGACTGAGTTGTTAGGTCACTGGGAAAGTCAAGTGCTGGTACATCTTCAACATAACTAGCTTGGCACAAGGCATGTGGACTTATTTTACAAAATAATTTCCTCACTGCTCTTATTCAGGAATCTATTCCTCATCTCCACGAAATGATCAGTACTCAGTTAAGAAGACTCCATGCCTGCGTGCACAGCATCATGCAGTGCCAAGTTAGCTCCCCCTCCCCCCATCTCCCTGCTAACAGAGGAGTCTCTCAGGGATGAGTTAAAGCAGATAGCTTCCTGAAGAACCTCAAAGTTATACCCAGATCACACTGCAGTGATTTTTCTGGCATTGCAGCATCTCTCGTGCCTGTCTGGATTCAGTTTTTTTTCCTTATGTCTCATTTTTCTGAGGCCAGTGAGAATTAACCCATTTTCCTTGTTCTCCAAGTAGCTGCCTTGCTCTGAATTTGCCTGTTTCCCAGCATAGCATTTTTTAGGCTGTGATTATCATAGAATCATAGAAAGGCTCGGGTGAGGAGGGACCTCAAAGATCATCTAGTTCCACCCCTCCTGCCACAGACAGGGTTGCCAAACATTACATCAGGCACCAGATCAGGGCCCCATCCAACCTGGCCTCGAACGCCTCCATTGATGGAGCAGCCATATCTTCTCTGGGCAGTTTCAAGGCATTGACTTCTTCAGGGCTATTTTCATGGAAAATATTTGAGAGTACTCAAATGCAGAAAGCTGCAGCTCTGAAGTGAGTCACACAGAGCTTTATAGATGACAGAACTTTGAACTACCACTGCTAATTTGTTTCTATAAATGCTGTGCATGCAGAGCAGCAGTGTAGGCCATTCCCAGGGTCTTGTTTCCCCCTCAGCACTGCTGTGTTCCTCTTTGGTCACTGAAAACAATATCAATATTCCTTTTCTCTCTCATGTGCCTCTTACTCCATCTAAATGATAATAAGCTGATGTGATACACTGCATTACTGTGCACCTTTTTGTCCATTAGCTCCCTCCAAAACCACCACAACCCCCCACCAGCAAGAAGAGAAAACGAGTGAGTGACGACGTGCCAGAGTGTAAGCCTCTGAAGCCATTGCTGAGTGGCTCCATTCCTGTGGACCAGTTTGTGCAGACACTTGAGAAGGTAATAAGCCTTTGGTGGCAAGCAAGGTTCAAGGGGTTCTCTGCAGAGCTGAGAAATCTGCTGCTTTGCTAGGAGAGAGAGAAATAATTTTTGTGTGGCTTGAAATAGAGCAAGGCCAATGAGCTGTCGAAGTATTGCCAGAATGTGTATCCCTGCAGTAAGAGCAGAGGAAATATTTCCCCATGGAAATGTCTTGGTGTAAGTGCTTGGTGTCAGTTATTTCCTCCTGGTTTCCTACAGAAGCTGGGCTTGTAGGGTTACTGCATGGGTGAATTTCCCACGTGTATCAGCTGATTTCCAGTACATTTCAACAGTGGAGAGGAGTTTTTAAATGCTGAAATTCCTAAAGTTCTTAAGTTCCTAAATTTGAAGTTCTTGATTTTAAGTTTTGTGAAAATGAGGAGACTGACTGAAGAATGATAGAGTCATAGAATGGCCTGGGTTGGAAGAACCTCATCCAGTCCCACCCCCCCTGCTGTGGGCAGGGCTGCCACCCACCAGATCAAGCAGCCTAGGGCTGCATCCAGCCTGACCTAAGAATCGTAGACTCATAGAATGCCTTGAGGTGGAAGAGATCCCAAGGGTTATCAGGTTCAAAGCCCCTTGCCACAGGCAGGGCCACCAACCAATGATGGAAAAACCTCCTGCAGAGCTTCAGGACAGGGTTCTGGTGGCCAAACTCCCAGGCATTGCATGTTACTGCCCTGTAGAGCCCAGCTTTCCCCTGCTTGGCCTCTTAGAGGAAATGGATAGGAAAAAGGGTAGGATTGTCTGTGAGGAAGTTTGCAGTGGGATTCAGTGGGTCTCTGTATCTTCTTGAGGCAGTAATGTCAGCAGATGTTCACTTCTGTACTTAAAGGAGTCTTTTGTCCTCTTTGCCTCACAAGGTTTTGAAGTTGGTGATTGCTATGAATTGGTATAGTGGAAAACTTTAGCCTCCCTATGCTGTAGTAAATCCATCTGTATAATGAGGGTTATATTTCATTTATCCTGTGAGGGTTTTCCTCTGTTGATCCCAGAGATGCAGAATATCTGCAGTGCCACTCTGTATTTTGCAGGCGTTCTTTCTCTCTCCTCCTCCCTGAGCTTACATCTCTCCCTGTTACTTACGTTGCTGTAACATCTCTCTCTTTTCCTCTCTCCCCATTGCTGTATCCAGCACGGCTTCAGTGACGTCAAGGTGGAAGACACAGCCAAGGGCCACATTGTGCTCCTCCAGGAGGCAGAAACACTCATTCAGATTGAGGAGGACTCCACACACATCATCTGTGACAACGATGAACCTCTTAGGGTGAAGCTGCGTGACTTGGTTCTTAAATTCCTGCAGAAATTTTAGCCCATGGACACCACACTGCTCTGCAGGGAGAGCCCTCAGAGCACCAGAGCAAAGAGCTTTTAGAGGGTGACCCCGGAGAGAGAGAATATCCGCATTCAGAAGCCAGAAACCACCTTTTCTTCATGCAGAAGCAACTAAGTATTTTTTTAATATCTTTATATATTTTTTATTTAATTTTTAGCCAGTTTTGGAATACTTCAGAGGGGATTCCTGTGCTGTAAAATTCCTTTCTGGAATGTTTAAGGAGATACAGATTGCAGAGTAAATAAATAGAGTGTATATTTAGGAAGTCAGGGTGAAACCATATGCAGGTCAGATATTTCTCTGTGTGATGCAGTCAATCAGCAGTGTGTGCCCCAGCCCTTTATCCAACACAACTCTGCAAGAATATTCGAACAGTAGCCTCAGATATTAAGAGAAGATTGGTTTTTTTTCTCCCCACTGTGTCTTCACTGCATCCAGTTTTCTGTCTGTGTGTATGTTTCCCTGGATATGGTACAAAGAGGAGCATGGCAGAGATCATAAAAACAAAAAGAAAATGGGGACTATGCTGGGCATGGCCAATAGCTTCAGAGTGCCCAGAGCACCTTCATTCTCCTAGAGCAGAGCTTGAGCACTTCAAAGCATTCACTGATGTTCACCTCACCTCTTAGGACCGAATCTGTCCACCGAGATGTTGGGTCCCTCCATCATCAGTGGGAGAGGTACCAACAGGAGGCATTGCAATTGCAGGCAGAATGGTTGGTTGCCCTTCTGTGCCCTATTTGTCTGTTGGCTGTTGGTGCTGAGACAGCTCCATTCCCATCTCACTGCTTCCATTGGGTGCATGAGGCTAAGCAGCATGAATCTGGGACCCAGAAACCCAGCTGAGAAGGGAGGCATTCTCATGTATGTTAAAGCAGTTAAACTCCCCCTGCTCACGAAAAACCCGGGAGATTTAAGTGCCTCACATTTCTACCTTCCCAAAATCTTTTAGCCCCCACATTCCAAATTCCTGTTGAAATTCTGATAGCCCTCTCTACAAAGCCATCTGTACTGCAGACTAGGGGGGCTTTTCCCTTTCAAAGTTGTGTATTTGGAGCCTAAACTTAGTTAATAGTACTGCTTTTAAAAGTAGCTGATTGATTTCTTGGATTTACTGCTGTTTTCTTGTTTTCATTTTTTTTAATGGGATTGTTTTGTATTTATTTGGTGTTAAAAATAAAAAGTGTAGTAAGAATGCTGAGGAGAAACCACATTCAGTGGTTTATAAAAGCATCTGCTTGCCTGGTCCACATCCACAGGTGCGTAAATATACATATTTGTAAAACAAAACGTCTCCAGTTTACAGCCTTGGGGAGATTAAGGCAGTGGGAGAACAGCTCTGTAATAAAAACTGTTTGCTGTTGCAGTTTGCACATCATATTTCCTACACATTAAGGGTTCCTGCTTGATTGGTTGTGCAGGCTCTGGCATCTGTACCGTGGCTTTCTGTGTGTGTCAGGGGCATGAGAGCAATGGTATCATTAGGGCAATAAAAACCTGGTTGCAGAAGCATGAATCCCAATGAGAGTTTACAACATCTGTGGTAGTTCAGCTTCTTTATCATCAGTAGCAAATAGAATAAAAGAACTGGGCATATCTCACCTGGCAGTTAAATCTGTATAAAGATTATTCTGAACACATGAAGGCCACTGGATGTAGGCAGGGTAGGAAGGAGAGGGACACGCATGCCTTATAACAGGTGAGTCCTTGAAGTGCCTCTCTCCTTGTTACCCACTGGCCCCAATGCTCCAGAGACTTCATTTTGTGAATGTGCTAATTTGCATTTATAATTACAGAGGATTTAAATCCACCTGAAGGTCCCAGTGCCACCATCAGATGCTGTGACAGCTCAGCAGACGGTGCAGGGCTGTGTGTTCACCAACGTGAGATGTAACCACACTGTGTGTTTCTCTGACTGCAGGTGCATGAGGGCAGGAAGGTGAAGCTTTGCTGCAGTGTTGCAGTCTGATCAGCTGTGCGTGTGAGGGGAGAAAACCTTCCTCATGTCCCATTCAGAAGAATGTTCAGCTGTTACACAGCAGGTCAGGTTAGACATAGAGGTGTTCTAGCTCTCAAGATACTCAAGAAATCTTTAAATAGGAACCATGAGACAGCTTGTGTCAGCTTCAGTGGCTACTCCACTGGTGTATAATTGGGCCAAACCAACCCCAGTGCTCTGAGCCCTGTGGAAGTCTCTCAGTGCTGCCCAAATTGACAGAACTGTAGAGCTCCAGCCTAGTCCTGCCCCATGGATGATTTTGGACATGTTTCATGGCTTGCTGCAGTCCAGTCCAAAAACATTTTGTTTGGTTCACTACTGCTGTGATTGGGGCTGTCACACCAAATCCTGTAATTTGGGGCACAAAGCCATGACTCCTATCAGCTGTGCTGATACTTCATCACATCACTGGCAGCTGGTGGATTTCCAAAGGCCTCGCCACCCCTCCTGGGAAAAACAATCAATGGGAAAGTGTTCACGTTTTTCCTCTTGTCGTTTTGGACAGAACGTCTCACTGCTCCAGTCCAGCATCTGAAAACCAGTTTGTTTCTTTCTTAGAAACAGGTTGTGCCTGCTGGAAAAATAAACATACTGAGGGGATCCTTCAGATAAAAATTTTAATTAATCTCACAAAATAAGCTCTTGTTCGTTCTGCACAGAGGAAGAAAAATAAATGGCATTTCTTCTGGCTGGGTCAGTGCTGCAGAGGTAACCATGGCAGCCTGGGAGGGATGCGAATGGAGGGGGTGGAATTAGATGGATGCCAAATACATTTTAACTAGAGACACGCTTTAGTGGACAGACAGCAGCAAAGGCACTTGGGTTTGGCATCATCTTCCTTCTAGAAGGAAAACATCCTGGCCACAGTGTGATGTTTGTTGTGCCATGGCCCTGTGCACATGTGACTTTAATGCAGATAGCATTTGCAGCTGGTAGCAGATACTCCTAGGTGGAAAGAAGTATATTATATTTTTATTCTATTAATAAGAACCCAAATAAAAACAACTGGAGCAAGTCATTCCATTCCAGGCTTGCTGTCTCCCACACCGTGCCCAGGTGCGTAGGCCAGCCCTGAGGTCACATCAGTGTCCCTTCCTAGGGGACATGAGCACGATGAACCAAGGGCAGCCTGCGTCTGTGCCCTGTGGGCAGCACACATCTTTGGGAGGAATGGGGCTTTGGTTTCATCCATTTGTATTGGCATGGGTGGGCTCACCCTGGGGAAGCTAAGCCATGTGGAATGGTCCCTATTTACCTGTCACATGCAGCCATCTGAGTCCATCTGTGATCCCATTCCTTGAGCCCCACCAGCTGTGCTTTTCTAGTAGGGCTAAGGCTGTGGCTGAAAGCTCTTTGCCTTGATTAACACAAGAAATTATTCCCCCACTGTTTTTCTCCCCTATTGCCCCCCAGCACTTGTTCCTCACCTTGCCCAGAGCCCATAGGGGTGATGCCTCCATCCTGAGCCCAACCCTACTGAAAGATGCTGCCATTTTGACTAATTTTTGTCATTGTCATCATGTTGGCAGCTCAGCATAAGAGCTTAAAAACTGCTATGCGTGAGAGTCCAGCCTGTGCCAAGCAGTGCCTGCATGAAGAGCAGCCAAAAGGCTTTTAACACCACAGCAGTAGGAACTCATCTCACTTGGGGTTTTATTCTTGAATCAGAAATTGTTTTTTTTTTTTCTGGAAATAACAGCAAGAACAAATGCTCCCAGTAGGGACGAGCCTTTGCCCCAGGGCAGTTTGCTGAAATGGACACAGCTGCCCTGAAGGTGTTCTGCTGGACCAGAGCAGCTCATGGCTCTGCCCCTGCCCAGGGAAAAGGCAGGGCTGGGAAATGTTGGTTTTGGGGTGCCCCGAAATGAAGCTGCTGCATATCCCATCCCGGTCCCAAACCCTTTCTCACAGCCCCCAGCAAAGCACGGAGCCATGCTCAAGTTAAACTCTCCATTTATTGGATCCTTTTACAAAAAAAATCAACATATGAATATTGTGCTCGTGTTGAAGGAGTGTTCCTTTTTTCCTCCATTTTTCTTTGAACCCGGTGCCCACGGGGCAGTTGGCACAGGGCAGGGCGGCACCACTGGCGATGCTATTTACAGTGAACGGGAGAGAACCTCACTCCACACCCAGCTGCAGCCCCAGTCCTGGGATGAAGCAGCAGAAACATCAAAAAAGGGAAAAGGCCTTCCTTTGGGAAAGGTGCAGCCACCGAGGGACCCTCACTGGGATGAACCCCACAACCTGACCTGAGCTTCAGCATTGCCCCGGGACCATCACAAAACCCACAGCAAAGATGCCGGTCACAAGGACGATGGGGACAGTGGCAAGGGCTGTTCTCAGGGATGCCTCTCTCCTCCCCCACAATGAGGGAAGCCTGCAGGATGCCATTGGAGCAGAAAGTTGGGCATGAATCACAGATCCGTGCTCTGGATGGGCCCTGGTGTCTGTTGGGGCAGAGTGGGGTAATCTTCCTAGCAACAGAAGGCTGAGGGTAGAGATGGAGACAGCCCTGCACGTCCCTCCTGCCAGCAGCACGTCGCAGCACCCACCCACCTTCACCCCAAATCCCTTTGGGGTTCAGCAAACAGGAAACCATCCTGCAACTCAGTCCCACCCCGCAGGCACCCCATCACAACTGTGGTGCCAGGCATGTCCAAAAAAACCAACAGGCTGGGCAAGGGATGAGAGTGCTGAGAGCCTGGAAGAACAACGCAATTTTCCATCACTGTTTCTTACTGGCCTGTGAATGAGAAGCCATGATGGAAAGGAAGAGCCCACCCAGCCCTGGGACTGAGGGCCTACGTGGGTTTAGGTTTTGGAGTCCAGGAGGTGGGTGTCTGACAGCTGCCACGCACAGAGGCTCAGCAACCAGACCTTGCAATGCAAATGGCAACACAAACACTTCACGGTACATCCGCATCTTCCAAGCTCCATATATTACGGCCTCCCCAAAATAAGAACATTTTCCCCTAAGACTTCTGAAAATAAGCTGATGGGAAGTGTGTATCTCTATTTATATAAAGTGCAATCCACAGCTGCCCCCACCCTGGCTGCCACCCATGCTCCAGTCCTCTATGTAAAGAGACTGAACCTTCACACGCTCTGTTTCCAGATGTTAAAACAAAAAAGAGAAAACAATACACAAAGGGAGAACCAGACGCCTCACTCCTTATTTCCCTGCACTCTGTGGTGCTGCTGAAGGTATGTGCAGGAGAGCAGCCGTGTCCTTCCTCCACCCACAGGACCACAGCCAAGCAGAGCAGTGCGTTGAGCTGACGGCATCCGCTGTGTAGGGGAGGAACCAGCTCCAAACCCAGCTCCATGACCACGATCCCAGTTATGTTCCCCAGCCCACTTGAATGGAAGGTCTTTGTGGGATTAACCTTCAAAAGCAGCCCAGAGCCACACGTGTGTGCAGGCAGGATGAGGGTTTAAGGCAGGTAGATCCACCCCGGGCACATGTGTGGCTTTGCAATGGGGATGAGGCAGTGTGGGATCTCAGCAATCGCTGGCGCTTCGCTTTGGTGCTGCTTGGCTGGCACAAAGGAGGATGCCCATCTCTTTTCCCCACCCTTTGAAGCATTACATGATCTCAAAAGGACCAATACCTCTCCTTCCATCCCAGCAACACCAGCAGGTCAGCTAGGAGCACACGGGGCAGCTTGGTTTCCCTATGGCTGCAGCACAGGGCACCAGGAATAAGAACCACAGTGACTGCGGCACAGGGTCTGCTGCTGGGAGCTGAGTAAAGACCCACTGGGACCAACTTCTTCCTCACTCACCCCTCTTGGGTGGGCCCTGCGTGGTGAGCACAGCAGCAAAGTGCTCCTGGATGGATGAAAGCTGGAGTCCTCAGTTGTAGCTGTGAGGCGAGACGGTGTGTGAGAGGGGTGGGGAAGGGATGGGGCCAGCACGGTCACCAGAGCTGCCTTGACACTGGGAGAAACATCTGCAGCCCAACTCCTCCAAGCTGGCCTCGCTGTGGTGGGTCAAGAGGGGAAAAGGGGATGGGTAGGGAAAAAAAAAAGCCTCACGCGGCAAATCTAAAACACTTTCATTTTAAATAACAATAATTATAATTAAAAAGAATGGTCGCCCTTGGCCAGAAAAGGAGCAGATCCAGTAGCCAGCGCACCATTCCTCAGTGTACGATCCTAGGGAGCATCTTTACAGAACCATGAGGTCCCCGATGTCCCTCGTGCTCCGTGGGAGGAGACCGGAGTCCATGGCAGGAGGCGTCAAGCATCGAAGCCCAGCTGAAGAGCCCCCCCTGCCCCACCCACCTCCAGATGGAGTTCGGAAGCCAGGGGTGCCCTGCTCCCTCCTGCTTTTAGATGAATTTGAAGCATTTTGTCTTGTCATGGGGCAGGCGGGTCTTGAAGAGGACCGAGTCCACGCGGAACTGGGTGTAGAGCAGGGGCATGTACCCGTACACCTTGACAAAGAAATTGATGCACTTGTGCCGCTCGTGGAAGTGAGAGTCATCGTGTGAAAGCGCCTGGGGGCAGCCAGGGCAGCGGAAAGTCCAGCGGGAGGTCACCTGTGAAGGGAGGGACAGAGCCTTAGAAGGGGCACAGTGAGCAGCTCCTGCTGACTCACTCATTGCTTAGGGCTTAAGAAGCCATTTCAGAGGGAAAGACTTTAAAAATGAATTTGTTTCAGTGCTACAGAACCACAGATGTATTTTTAGAGTAAGTAATTTGCCTCGTGCTTTAGGCACTCACAGTGAGATGTTCTGAGGGGGCTCCAGCTTTCAGGAGCTGCTCAACAGGTGTCCCCCCTCATTGGTCTGGATGTGGCCATCCCATTGCAGTGCCCTCTGATTTGGGTCAGATTCTCTCAGATTGGGCACTGAGCTTCACAACATCCCCTTTACAGCAGTTCCAGATGGGAGGAACACCACGCAGAAGAGCCCACCTGTCACATTCATGGCCCAGGCCCATCTCCATGGCAGCTGGCCTGTGACAGCGAGACATATGTGGGGCTGTAAGAGCACTCTGCCAGCAGCCACAAAAAGAGGACTCATCTGAAATTCATGCTCAGAATTGTGACAGTCATTTGTCTCAATGGGGCAGAGAGACTTCAGCTGGGCCACAGTGTTTGCACCAAAAGCCTTCTGCACACCCGTGAGCCCAAATGCCTCCACAACCTTATACAAAAACAGTGAGGAAATAATTCCTACTTGTGCTGCACACCACAAAAGTAGGACATTTGGCTTTCAGGACTCAGCTGCCCTGCAGGGCCTCTGCTCACCCAGAAACCCTCTGCTCTAAGCCACAGTGTGAGTCGAACCCCTCCTCATCCTGCTTGTCACAGTGGCTGCTTCTAAGGGCTGTGCTGAGCTTTCACACCTTTTTGAACACACACTGCACCTCCTTGGGGATGGAGGGGACGTGTTAGCAGCTCCCAGCAGGTCACACTCACAGCACAGCCATTTGGAGATGCACTGCAGTCAGAGCATGGTGAGGGAGGGCAGCAGCTGGATTTCCCCAAGTCAAGCAGCCTCCAAGCTGCACTCCGCACACCGCTGCACGTCTAAGGCATCCATCAAATCACCCAAGCCCTGCCTGGTGCCTTACCTTGATGGGAGGTTTCCTTGTGAGGTGTGAGACCAGGAAGTTCATGGCGATATCCTCGCAGTTGATGTACTCATCCACCATGTCGCGGATGGCCTGCGGCATCACGTAGGAGTACAGGTAGGCGTAGTACTGGTGAGGAAAAAAAGTTCTAACAATGCTCAAGGGGCCCCAAGCAGCGAGTGCTGCCCCAGCCCCCTCTGCTCCTGCTGTCTTTGCTGCTGCACAGCACTTGCCCAGCAGCAGGAGGATAACCTGCCCACCTCGCTAAGACAGCTCAGGACAACCCCTGTAAGGAAAGAGCCTGTCGGTTTCTCAAGGTCACCTATCAGTTCTCCCATAGAGAGAACACGTGCCATGGAGCTGCATTCTGCACTGCTCCCTCCCAGCACAAACCACCCACAAGCTCTGCACACCAGGCAGCTACAAAAAACCACGACTTCCCCTGAAATTGCACACTGCGGTGCCTGGACTCTATAAGATTAAAGGTTGTTATCAACTCCCACAGAAGAGCTCTGGGAGACTCGAGTTGTAAATATGACACTAAATCTGAATCATACCTCCCATTCATAGACTCATTAAGGTTGGAAAGACCACCAAGATCATCTAACCCAACCATCAGCCCATCCCTGCGACTGCAAATGAGGGAGCATCTGGGTGTTCCTAGCTTGCAGAATCTTTGTTTTGCCTGTGATGTGCCTCTGTGTTTGTTAGTGCTCTGTTTGGAAGGAGCCGGGCAAAAGGAGCAGTGTGCTGCAGTTTCTTCTTTAAAAATAAAAGCCCCACAACCACATGAACTCCAGTTAATCTGGGAAGGAAGAGAAAGCACCAGGCTGACTGTGGAGGAGCAACTGTGGACTTGATGATCCTTATGGGTTCCTTCCAACTTGGGATATTCTGTGATTCCATGATATCTCACCTTATGGAAGAAGGCAGCACCAGTGAGCACCATCGAGAGCTCACAAGAGTAGTTGGAGTTGTAGAGCCAGGACTGATGGGGGATGTCCCACGCATGGTAGCGCCCCGGGAAGCCGACGATGCGGTCCCTCGCCTCCCTCCAGACCCTGCAAACAGAAACACCAAGGTTTTCCAACAGACACCAACCTGGGCAGCACCTCTGGAGGCGAGCACAGCTCCAGCTGATCCCAGCCACGCACAGGGCAGGACTGTGCCCTCAATACCAACAGAGCAGCTCCCAAGGAAGGGCTGCACGTGATGGAAATGCGTGCATTTAAGCTTGGTTATGGCTGCTTGCTTGGACAAGAAGAACAATCATTGTGAAAATGTGCAATTACTGTGCTTTAAAGTTCAGGTATTTTATTTTTTTTTTACAAAAGCATGAAAGCATAACATGCAAAAGGTGCCTGTGTACGTAGGTTGTGCAGTGCAAGTTCACCCACTGCCCCAGCACCATCAGAAGGAGCAACCAAGTGACCACATGAGTTCCTCCCTGATCTCATGGAGTTGTGCCATACTGTACTGCAGGAAGGGGCTAGAGGCAGAAATTGTGGCAGGGATACAGAATTTGTTGAGCTTCTCTTGTTCTAAATATTGAGTGCAAAGCACAGCATCCCTTACCCAGTTCTGCCACACACAGCTGCGAGTGCAGAGCAGCACTGCTGGGTTTCTCATGTTGGTTCTCTTCCAGAGGCACCTTCGAGTCGCTTTTTCTAACTAAAAGGGTTGTGCTGCATGTTTAAAAGAAAACTTAGAATAGAGGCTGATAGCCCATAATTCATTTCTGAATTACACAGAGCATGGAAAGCTATGATCTCAGGTGAAAAGGCAGAGAAAGAGGCTGGGAAAGCCAGCGTGATGGGAAACTGCTGCTCCAGCTTCCAGCACGTGCAGGCACATCACCACAAGAAGCACCAGTGCTGCTTCTATTTCTTCTATACCCCAGAACAGCCTGGGGTAATCCAGCCTCTTTCCAAGCTCCCTGGGATGTGGTATCTCCCAGCAGCTCTCTTTCTTCCTCCATACAGCAAAGACAATCAAAGCTCCCTTTAGGAAAGCTGCAGAGATGGTCAAGATGGGGTCTCCAAGATGAAAGGCACTAAGCTCCACTACCTGTCCCTATTTACAGACACTGCAGTGGTTACCTGCCCACTTCCATCCCAACCTGCACCCAGCAGCCTCCCCAGCATCCTTCACCCCAACACACGCTCGCAGTTGTTGCACAGGGAATTAATCCTGGGGTTCACATGTGAGAATGTGGGCTCGTTTAACATTCTGCTCTCATCTGAAGCTTGCTCTCCTCCAGAGAAATCCCACAGGATAGCTGCAATGCTGTCAGGAGTAATTAAGAAAAACGTCAGTGCTAAATGTCTAACCTGGAAACTAAATCCATCTTCCACATTGGGCTGATGGCTTCCTTCAGATGCACTGGTCTGACCTCACTAATGGTCCCAGCTGCACCTCCACACTCAAGTCACTCCATGACTACAAGGACCGAGCCCCAGGTAGGAGCCTGGAAGGGTTTTCCCTTCTCCCCAGCCACTACATCAGGCAGCAGGAGGCCTTCCCTATTTTCCTAGCATGCATGGAGCTCCTGGTTCCTCCACCCTCGGTCCCTTTCCTGCTGAGCTTCACAAGCAATGGCTGCAGGGCAATTGTGGGCTGCTGACAAAACAAAGTTCCTGAGGGCTCTGGGCCTTCATTACACTACTTAACACAGCAAACAGCAAAGATAGGTTTGTTGTTATGTCCTCAGTGAAATTAAGGAAACTCCAATATAACCTGGTAATGAAAACTGAGCAATTAACACTGCCCGCAGCTTCCCTGGCACCATCCTCCCAGCAAGCATTTGTGTCCTGAGGGTTTCTATCAATCCAATACGACTGTTTTGAAAAGCTGCAGCAGAAACCACTCACTCCCTTTCACTTCTCCCACATCCACATGAATGTGACGTTTCCTTTCCAGATCAGCAGCAAAACCCAGAGTTCCTCCAGCAGAGCATTTTGGTTGCACTCCTTGCTACGGTTTGTTCCCAGCAAACAATCTCCATGCAAGGTGCTCTGGGCCTGATCAGTGCAGCCTCAGCCAGGCACTGCAGATGAGCAAAGGCAAACAGAGACCAAAGAGGGGGAGAAAATGGCCAAGAGCCCGCAATGGGGCATGGAAGGGAGCCAGGAATCCCAATGCCTGCTATAATCACTTAACACCTCATTTCTCACCCCTCAGAGAGAGCGCTTTCCAGGCATTTTGTGCCTTTCTGTCTTCCTCTGAAGCAAGAGCCAACCCATCTGGGAGGGAGAGGAGAGCTGCTGCCCGCCTCCACCCCCTGACAGCTGTCAGGAGCTCTTGGATTTGCAGTCAGCCCCACACCAGGCTGACAAGCTGCAGCCAAGTGAGGGTGAGCAGCAGCAGCCTGGGGAAACTCCTATGCAACCACTTTCTTCCCTGGGCTCATCAAC